TCTCCGACTCAGAAAATGCTTTAAAGGAAATTTCGCGACTGAAAGCGATACTGCGAGGCAATAATTTCTCCAGCATACTCGGGAAGACTGCAGAGTAGCGTGAGGAACGAGTGCGAAACGAAAAATCTGCATTATTTTTGCTGCTGCGAGATTCCTACCGTCGTTACTATTATGTTAAGAAAATTACAGAGATAGGTACAAAACCTATATTGTCACCGTATGTAGTTTTTACTCATATTATTATTCGTACAACTGCATGTTAGAGGCGGCTGTATATGATATATACATTTATCAAGTTTGTAATGAAACGCTAGAAAAAAAAAAAAACAAACAAATACGCGATTCTGATTTCAAGCGAGAGTAAATATTGCAGGCGAGAAAAATGTGGCTCGGTATAGCGATATTTTATCGGTTCCGCTTCCTATTACTGCAATGGAAAATGGCTGCTTTCTGAGACTCAAGAAAATGCAATGTAATATTATATCACGCCGAGTTAATGTTACCGTAATCGAGATTTATATGTAAATTTTTGATGTACTATCGTGTGAGATACGACGACACGCTGTTGAGTTTTATTAAGAGAAACCGCTGCTTGACTAATTATTTATAGCCTCATGTACGCGAAATAATAATGTATGTAAAATGATGGTTGCTACTGGAAAAAATATACATATATTTTATTGAGTTGACAATGAACATATAGTTATATTTTTCACGCAATACTATCCTTTGATCTTTTCCTCAAATACACAAAATTCTGTCGTTATATATTATACTTAAAAAATATTTTTACTATATTATTGATTATTATAATGCATTATATATACAATATTAAGTAGTGCTATTTAACTTAATTTGAATCTATTATTTACAATAACATTCATAGATATAATAAAAAACATGTACATTTTAAATATGTACATATGACACATATGTACATATTTAAAAACATATATATATGAGAATGTAAAAATAATATACTTTATGCAGCAGATAGACATGTCTTAAAGTGTTATGTAAAACAGAAGTAACTTTTTATAACTTAAATAATTGTGAAATGCCAGAAAAGAAAAGTATTTTTAACAAATTAATAAATATTCTTAATTTATGCAATTTAAATTTTCTAAATATATAATGTTCATTATTGAATAATTAATTAAATTTTTTTAAAAGACGTATTATGTATAAAGAATTGAAAAATATTGATCTCTGATAAAAACATCACATAAATAATAATAAGCGTCTTTTTCATTCGAGAGATATGTAATCACAATTCTTATTGTTTTAAGTTTCTGTTGTTCTACGTTGAGATGTTAATAACATTATTCTATGACATAGCTTTACATTGTGATCCTTCAGGTATCTTATCATGTCTGTCTGTTTTTCTAATAATTCCTCTAAATTCCTTCCCCTCTGACGATACCCAACTTCCCCCATTCCAGAATAGGAATCCTGTGTAAAGGGCGACAGCCATTCATCGCGAGTGACATCGGGCGGTGGACGTAATTGATTGAATTTCATAACTTTTTCTGTATGAGAAACAAATATTGGCATATTCGCAATAAAAAATGATTAATTTCGAGCTTTTCAATATATTATAACTTAAAAATTCAAGCATTAAATATTTTAATCCTTAAACGAAATAACTTTCTCTTTTGAGAAAGAAAGCTTAAACAATCTTACAATTATTTTCAATTTTTTTTATATTTTGTTTATAATTTTCCGATATTTCTTTAAAATTATATAGGATTTCGAAAAATTAATTTTTTTCATTAAAACTTTTTTCACAAATTATCTTTTTTTTTGCAAGATACCTACCCATATAACTCGTATAAATCGCGAGTACTATCACGAGTTCCAAAGTACTTAGGAAACAAATATAACTAATTGGTGCGATCCACTTGGACGTTCTGCAATACTGTTCATAGTCATCTTTATGCGTGTGATGCAAAATCACAACTAGAAATAAGTAGCACGTGTTCCACAACGATGTGATGAAAAGAGGCATCCTTATAAGTTGATATGTCGATTGATAGAATTCTAGGTATCCATTAATACGTAAATTATGATGTTTGATCTTAATAACATGATCTATTGTCATTACTATTAGCCAATAGGCACAGTGAAAGTACAAGTATATAAAATACGTTTCACATTTGTACCATTCCTCTGACCATAAAGATATAAACGTAATCCCACAAATTAGAATACAGACCTATAATATAAAAGATGTATCTAGTTCCTTAAGTCTAAGAGCTCCTTAAATCTAAATTCTAAGAAGCACAATGTAGCAAGCAAGCTATACCTACTCCAAAAAACCATGGAATCAACACGATTGGTATAGTGTTCAACTTTTGAAAATTGTCTTCCTCCTCAGAGCTCAAGATTGGTTCAAAGCACTCTTCGTTTTCCATTTTAATAGGTCGATCAAAGAATACTCACAAAGTATTATATATCCTAAACAAATTACCATAATTTAACCCTAGTGCACTTTCCTAAATATAATCACAGCTAAATTATATTGATTAAAATGCAAACACAAAATATGGCATCTAATATGTACTGACACTCACTATCTTTATGAGTAAGAAATCTGTTATTTTTGGAGTTGCATATTTAAAATGAAACTGCTTGAAGAAACAAGTTATACAGCAAAAGAAAGATAAAAATATAAAAGAGAGAATGCTTATCTTTATAACAGTTTCATAAATGTTTTGTCTCAAGTTATATGGTTTAATGATGAAAGACAGAAGCATTGAAAAAAGGGTCTATTACAAAAAAAAATATTTTTTCTTAGAAAACAAATTGATTCTCTTAGATCCTGCATATATTTGTCATTTTTCTCTCTCACTATAATATATATACCTTAAGGCAGATTAATGTTGAATTCGAGATGAGGTGATGATGGATTACAATTAAAAATATATGTCACATATTTACATCGAGTATATGTATATAAAAACAATATTCCTGAACAAAACAACACAGCTCATTAATTGATGTTATTAATTGCAATTAACGTGAATACCGATTTCACACGTGTTCACGACAAATTCCTTATAAGAAATTCATTAATTTGACATCGATGTTCAATGACAACCAACGTTTTGCAAGATCGCTCAAAATACAAGTCCGATATTCGCACAAATGGAGGAACAATTCGCGCTGTATGCGCAGTTAGCACCAGCGACACTCACGTATATGATTCATCGTATATAAATATTGTTATGCCTGCAAGAAAAACAGCGGGAAATGTCGAAAGAAATAATATTAAAATTCGTGACAGTTAACTAAAAGAATCTGAGAGTAACAGCCACACACAAACACGTACACACGCAAATAAAAAGCAATGAGGAAAACTGGGATTTATGCATTCCAACGAGTCCCTTTCATCGTTCCTAAGCATACGTCTGTGAAATTGATATAGTCAATTGGTGATAGCATAAAGTTAGGTTAAAGTTATGTTAGATACAAGTTGAGGTTAGAAGCCTATTGTTTTATCACTGCATTGGATTGCATTAAAACTTCCGTTCCCATTTCCGTAAAATATTTCAAACATATTCATTTCATTTCAATTTCATAATGCGTATCTCAATCGTAAAAACTCAAGCGTAAAAAAAAACGAATATTAAAGTTTCTGCAGTACTTACGGAGAATGATGAAATTGCGTTTCTAGAGTTAGGTTATGTTTATATCCACGGCGTCGGGCTAGCGGCAAACGATAGTTGACAGCTTGCGAATCTTATCGATTTTGTGATGCAAAGCTCATTCTGGAATTACTTCTTATTAAGATTATGCTACACGATTTGCCAGACGCGCAAAAAAGCTCGTCTCGTCGTTTGACTCACTGCGCTGCATAATAAACGTCCTTTATAACTGAACTGTATGTAGATACATGCACTTACTGTAAAATGCACTTACTTTAAAATGAAATAGATATAATATTTGAGACTTGGCGAAAGAGAGAAAGAAAGTTCTAGTGCAATTCAGTGCAGCGATAAAGAACAATGACTCGAAAGCAGTGACTCTCAATTCGAATTTCGTCGACATGTCGAAGTGCAATAAAGAAAAAGAGATATGCAGCATAATTTTGACATAAACGATGTCTTTGATGTTGTAAATCTAATTCAAAAATAATCTTGACAATTTTTTGGGAATGAAAATAAAACGATCTTTCCGTACCTGCAACATCGGAAATTCCATTATATATTCTTCTACTATGTTTTAACGTACGTATATTTTTTCAATTACATCCTTATATTGAAGAAATTTACATATAAATTTATGCATAAAAAAGCATCTTGTAAGAATTTTAATAAATTTATATAAGCTGATTTTTACTTTGTTTTTTTCCTACCAGAAATTTAGGACTACGCTCAAATTGATAAAACAAGATGAGATAACAGGATAATAGCACAAGATAAGAAAATAAGAGACAAATAGCTTCTTTTATATAATTTTAAATGTTTGTCACAAAATAACAATGTATAATGACAATAATTAATTTCTACGTCTAAAGTATTTAAAAATTATTAAAGTAAAAATATTTTTTATAAAAAAAATAATATACACACAAATCCTATTTAAAAACTTTTAAAATTTATTAAAACAAAGTAATTTAAGAAAGGCTAATATTTTAGAAATATTATCTAAATTAATTTGCTTTTTCTGTCAAAGATAATAATATTAGAAAATTGATGCATGTATCATTATAAAAATCTTGATTGTTAAATAGCATCTGTAAAAAGACATCAAAAAAGCTCATGTAAAATATATCTTACAAAATAGTAGATAATATTCTTCAATGTTAATATTCTTTAACATTTTAAAGAGAATTTAATGAATGTTTAAAAAGTCATGTTGAAAACTTCTTCCTCTTAACAATACGCACTGAAGTTCTAGTCTTTATTCTAATTTTTTGTTCTAAATTAAAAAAGAATAGTGCAAAATTTTTTAAAAATTTATCAAAAATTTAAGTACAATTGAATAAAGTTCTGTAACAAACGTGCTGTAATTTGCTCGTTGTGCAAATATCGCATTTCTATATAAACATGTAGACATTAATCAGACTGCCATAAAAATATACACAGGAAGTGAGAATGATGTTTTGCATGGTCGCGGGATAAATTTCGATCGCATTTTTCATTTAGATGGTCCAGCCCGGTGTAAAAAAATGTCGATAAAATCACCGGATGTTTATTGTTTATTTCAAACTAATGAGTTTCATTATACATTCCATTGGCGTTTTATTTCGTCCATTATTTATCGAGGGAAGCGAAAACCAAAAAGTCATAAGCTTGAGAAAATGACAATAAATAATAAGACAGATCCAAGATAACATATCATAACATATTAACAATGTAATTGCACACTGTGCAATTTTTATAAAAGCAACTTTATTATTCCTAAATTTTATCTCATGAGAAAAATAAAGTATTATTACGCTTTATATTTAATTATTTTTTATAGTAAAAAAATATCGATTAATCCTAATTGTATATTTATTACGTAACAACGTTATGAAAAAATTCTAAAATTTAATCTATATTTTTAAATAAAAAAATATAAGCAACGTAAAAAAAGTCAAATAAAGTGCCGGAATAAGAATTTAAAATAAAGTGTAGTTTGGACGTTGTCAATTTCGTTGTAATATATACATACATAATAATTTCATGAACTTTACAGAAGAGACGAATAGAATGCCATGATCGATAGCTGAAAGAACAAATAACAATCTACTTCAAACTATATATAATGACATATTTTTAGGCTGATATAAATCAATTTCAAAATTCTCAGTTATTCCCATATAGAAAAGTAAAAAAAATGCCGAAACGATCAATCTACTTGCCATCAGACAATCTTTATAAAAGAACTCGAGATGATCTCGAATTTCTGTGCAATTACTGGGACCGATTGCTTGCATCGAATCGAGGTTACGATATACGTCTTCCGGAATTGCTACGCGCTAATCACTTAATGAGACACTTATCTTCGGACCAAGGATTACGAGTCAACGTGAGCTTTACCATTCTTGATGATGGCAATTACTTGGAACCGGAAAACACCCAAATGTATCAGCTGTAATTTATATTTTTTTTACGCTAAGGCTTTCTTTAAAAGCAAAGTTGTATTTTAGAAATAATACATAATTAATATAATTAATATAATTAATAGAATTTCAAGAGAATCTAGAAGTATCTCTTTATTTATATCTTTTCTTTTTAAATTTTCATTCAGTAGCTTAATAACGTTAAATTTTTACTGATGCAGATGTACTTTGCCGCCTTATTATACCGAATCACGTAATGAATTTCGCCGATCGCCGTATAACAATAACGCAGCAAGGCATAATTTACTTAGGAACTACATAAGGCAGATAAATGAAAATTACTCGGCGATCGAGAGAGAATTGACGAGGGCCAGAGTATTGGCGTCCCTCGTTGAACGCAATAGATTCGCGGCATGTCAGAATGCGTTTTACAATGAGGTTCGGTTCAAAACACTCCTAATCTGAAATAAAAATTCCTTTTTTTACGATAGATCAAGTTGATTTACTCATTACGATTCTAGACGCAGCGCGCGGCGGTTTGTAATTGGAATAAATTCCCTGTTGGAAATCAAGCATGTTCCGCGAGAGCTTCTTCGGGGTTACAAAACAGACATGTTAATCCGCGGGAAAGAAACAATCGTCAAGCTTGCACGTTATTCGGACATGAGTGTTGCATGGCTGATAGAAAGAACAACGACGCTCGAGAAGAACGGAAGGAACAGGATTACTCGACATATCATCAGCAATCATTCAGACAAAAAGAAAATTCGCTTGAGGTAATACTCTGATAATAATGATAATTATATGTAGAGCTATGTATATACATTTAGAATTTTTAATATTCTGATGTGATATCGTAATAATCTTTCCTTGCTTTTGCGAGATTCCGAACGAAAACAGTATTACAGCTCGTTACGCAACAGTATTACATAGTACGATTATTTACTAAACTTGCAAAATAATGCAATTAACAATTTTTTTAGACGCATAATGACACACGGATGAGTGTTCCCAGGCAACACTGCTCCAAATACTTCTTGCAAACTTCGATCTCCTGCGAGGCCGTCAAGAACCAACCAAATAACAACGTGCGTTAATTAAGATATCTCAAGTTGTTTCAACGATGGTACAATACACGCTTAAGTGCAGCTTCAGTGAATAAAAAAGTTACTTGAGTAATTTCTATCTTATAAACTTACATTTCTGCTATGTGCAATTACGAGTGAGAAATTGATTGATGGCATCCGCGTCATTGAAATTGAATAGTAAATTGTAATTCCAACTCCATCGTTTACAGCGATGTCTTAGACCTTAGAGGCAATTTTTTTGAAGAAATAAATAAACTGCACTTAGCATACGTGTGTTGTACCATCGATACTTTTTCAACGATTTTACACAAAGATTTACACGATGGACGTCACAAGCGAGCTGCACCAACCAAGTTAGCATGTACTTCTACGATTTCAACGATTTGACGTTAATTTGATTAGCAACAACTCGGATTATTGCAACTATTGCATATGGTCTCTTTTATAAACAACGCCGTATAGTATATTATTTCTAGAGAACGTTCAATTTCGCAGATATTTTACTGATAAATATTGAATAAATTAGCATTCTGCAGAAACAGGAAAGCATTAACAAAATCTTAAAATAATAATCTTAAAATAATAATCGCGAGAAGTTTAGAACAATTGACTCGTAAAATGTCCGGCTGCATCTATAAATATTTCAACTTTAAAACGTTAAAGCAGATTTTCTGGATTATATGAGAGCTCTTCTTGATTATACACCGGCGGGCAATACGTGTTTTTTCGTGACACAGAAATAAAATAATATTTTTTTTCCATGCAGAATAGATGTTTAGAAATTGTCATAATATTTGGACAAATTGGCGTTACTTCGCGACTGGATGGGTGAATTTATAACGGCAACGGTATAACTCTTTTATTTGTTTATTTGAGGAGATTCTGTCTTTAGCGATTTTCCAAGTTCCGCTATAAAATATCAATTGCCGTTTCTGCGCTCCAAAGTACGCACGAAATTATAAAAAAAGAAAAGAGAGATTATCTCCTGTCCTGTCACGCAATAACTTTGATTTACGGTAACATCTGACGGGTCCAACATTATACAGACGCTGCAGAACTGCACCGGATATGCGCCGGCACGAAATGACAACGGTACGATAAAGCGGCGGAGCTCGAAAGAGACGATGGAAGCGTGCCAGGGTGTCAGTAAAATCATCAGCGACGCGGCAAAGATTTCTCATCCGGCGGAATCGAGACCCGTCAAACTCGATGACGACGGCATCGCGATAAACAACAGCGATAAACGATCGACCGAGCCGCGACCGGGGCCGGTCGGCTGTCAGGGAAATGGCCCGCAACGGAGCGCCGAGTCAAGCATCGTGGATCAAAGCGAATACGTGGACGCGAAACGAGGATGCGGCAGCAAATATAAATTCGACGATCTGAAAGATCGAGAAATGGCGGTCGAACTTGAGCCAGGAATCAGTAGTCAGCAGGATCAATCGAACGCGACGACCGAAAGGATAAAGCCGCGCGTCAAGGACACGTCGACAAATATAGACGAGAAGATTGCCAGAAGTAGAATCAGGAACGGTAGAGTGCCGATAGAGGAAAGATCGTTTTCGAGAAGGCACGTGTCTTCGCCGAAGTACATGAGTTACTTGAGGACGTCTCGTAAGGAGGAGAGGGATGATCGACTTCGCGGTAATTCCTCATCTCGGAGAAACGATGGGATAGAAAAATCGCAACGTCGAAAGAAACTTTTTATGGAAAGGTATGATCCTGGGATAAGGTACAATAAAACGGAAGGAAAAAGAGAATTAAAAAAGTTCCCAAGATTAAGAAGATTACTCGTAGCCAATTTTTTTCTTTGATTATCGAACTTGAAATGTCAAGTCTCTCTGAACTGAAAGAACGTGAGAAAACTTTCAAGAATGTACAACGACATAATATTCACGAAGTACAATGATGACGACGTGATAATTTGTAAAATTAAAATCAAATATTTCTTCTTGAATAAAATTATTTTTCCAAATTATTTTTTAGGGAAAGTATTTTTTAGGGGAATATATATTATTTCTCATATCCTTCCGATATAATACCGTATAGAGCTATAAATTTTCATACGTTTACCTTTTCCTTTATTCTTTTTACTTATAAAAAGCGTTTTTCGTACGTATTTTTGAAATAATTCACAATAAATCACAATCTTATAAATAATTACAAGTAGCCTGTACCGACTGTAATAAATGGTTCTCCTGGATTAATTCCAGTTCCAGCATTGAGCGCGATGGCCGAAGGAATCCACGAATTGGAAGAAGAACACCGATGCCGAGGAGTACAGTGCACACGACGTACAATCCGATAACACGCTCATCGACCACTCCTATTTTAGATTCCAGCGGTCTCACGATACAGTTTCTGAGGTATTACGATCCGCTTACTTACTTGTTCGCATTCGTTTCCAAGTGCTTTCTATTTTATCCCTTCCTTCCTCTTCCCCAAGATTATACCTTTTATAAAAAAAATATCCTTTTTTTTTTCAAAAATAGTTAACAATGAAAGAATTCGAATGAACAATAGAGATATCTTAGAAAACACATATTATGTAATTCGTTTCAATACGAGATTAGAATCGAGGAAAGACCAAATGTTTCCTACATAATTTAATATAAAATAATTGTTAATCATATTTGTGTAAAATCGCTTTTTTGAAGCTCTATCTTGAAACTGTAATTAATTATTTTCGTAGGCTGGCTGTTTTATTATACGCGCCCACGTTGATGCCGGCGTTGAATTCATTGATCGCGCAGCAGAATCAACAAACGCCCGTGTCGATGTCTTCGGCTTTTGAAAGATCTAACGATCTACTAACGCAAATCTTCCGTCTGCTCAATGAGCAACAATCTATCCCTAATCTGCCATTTGTGTCAATCGAATCCGAGAGAGCTTCCTCGGCTTTGACCGCGGAGACAGACGTCGGAAGTTCGCGGTCACTTTCCGAGAAGAAAGAGGAGAATACCTCGATCGCTACGGATAAACCTGACTCTATTTCGGAACAAGGATCTAGCTCCTCCGGGACTCCGAGCCATTGGAAACCGAATGATCGTGTACAGCAGCAGAACGGAAAAAACAGAAAGTGGCGACTGACGTCGATGTTGACCGATTCTGGTATAAGACTGGACAAGACCATTTTCACGGCAGAGGACTTCCGGAAATTCGAAGACTTCTTAAAAGCCAAGAGGAAACGTCCGGAAGACGTTCGATCTTTGTCCATGAGAAGCAAAAACGAAGTCGTTATGAAAGAGTATTTCCGGAACTGGTTGCATCGGTTGTTGCAGCAATTGAACTCGGCAAGCAGTATTCTGTTCAAAAACAACGAAGAGAGGAAATTTTCAAAGATTCCAGATAAATCCCCTTTGGAAGAAGTAAAAGGACAACAGAATAGAGACCGTTTGATATTTGACGAATCGCCAAATTCCTCGAAAGACGACGGTAATACCTTTTCGGAGCGCGAGGAAGAGGATTCGGACGATCAAAAGTCGTTCAGTTCCGCTGCAAGCACGAATTCCTCGAGATCGCTGCGACTTAAACAGAACGATGTCGCGGAAGAGAAAGAGTCGCAAAAAAATGAAAATTCGCAGAATTTTGACGATTAATTATCAATAATAGGCAGACTGTGCACACATTGTATATAAGACGACGGAACGGAATAAAACCGTACCCGATGTAAACCTCGTCGGCAAAACGAAAGTGTAACAGCAGATCGCTCGTAAAAGAACCTCTTACAAGTCACTCGGGAACTGTCGTTAGGATTTAGTATAACCTCGAGCCATGTGGCAGGTATAGCGAGGACGCTTGCGCGAGGGGACCAACACGTGGTGAACGCAAAGCCGAGCTTTTGCCGCGGAGTGTCGCTCGCCGAGAGTTTGCAGTCGCGCGTGTTATCGCTACCGAAACGCTTCCCTTCGATCGAGGCGGTCGAAACCGCCTCTCTTCCGTGTTTACCCCCTTGTGTGTGGGTGCTTGAGGCAACAAACTGTCGAGGCAACAACTGCTATTAACGCGAGCCAGGCGCGAAGAAGAAACAAACGGCAGATAACAAATTCCTGTTTCCTGTCTTTTATATAATCACGAATGGCGATCGGCAAAAAGCGCGGAGAATCGTCGAGGAACGACGTCATCATCTTCATTGTATACAAGTAGTACATCGAAGAATTTCGTTGAAAAATTTCGAGAGTATCGCTCCCGTCTCGCGATGAAGGGAAGAAGGGAAGAAGGCTTCTCCTCTCGCAGCGCGTGAGAGAACGCGAAGTCATGACATGAGGGGACCAAGATCTTCGCTTGATCTCAGATTTTTTCATATCAGAAAGACTGATCACGCACGAGCCGAAAATGAGTAAGGAAGACAGCAGCAGCGATACGAAACCGCAGGATGCTTCCTCGCCAGACACCCCGACGGATGTGCCATCAAAGAATGCAAACGCGGACATCTACGAGAATCGCGGGCCTAAGAAGATCATTCGCGTGGTGACTGTTATGGCCTATCTGTTCTCGGTGAGTTTCGTGGGTATTCTTTTGAGTGCCTATTACATATTTTTGTGGGAGCCGCCGAATCCGAGACTTATACAGCGAGAACGGTTGCGATCGGATCCGCAATTGCAATTTTTGATTGCGCCATCACCCTCACACGAAGATCCGACGAAGGACAGCGATCCTCTTCAGCAGAGCGAGGTTGCTCATGTGTATAAACCTCTTCTGAGTCGCATGACACATGAAATGGGCGACAATGACGATTTGGTTGTCGATCCCCGAGATAAGATGAGTATTGAGAAGAAGCGAAGAGTGAACGCGATGTTGCTGAAGCTAAGACGCTCGCTCGTAGTGCGCGCTCAAAATCGAAACTTATCGCAGGAGGCCATGACTTCCGACAGATTTAACAATTCGTCCGTCGAAGGGGAGGAAGCGCTTAACTCGACGAAGACGAGGAGTCGCGCGAGGAGTGCGTTATTACACAGCGGATCACGCAGGGATATTCCCGAAGGAAAGTTTCATAGGGATAATATTGATCTGCCTTCAGAACATATACACAATTCTTCACGGGCACTCGATTCTAAAGATTCGATATCAAAATTTTTAGTTATCGTTGGAACTAAAGTAGGCCAGACTCACGATGGAGGTATCGATGCCAATCCGATGCCGGTTACCAAAGAAAAGAATCGACATCAAAAGAAGCTCAATGTCATTAAATCATATCCCGTTCGCGGATTTATGCGGATTAATACGACGACAAACGGCGATGTTACGAATCGTAGCATTTTCGAGTCTCACAAAACGGCCCAGGAATCCCCAAAGATCGATACTTTCGATAAGAGAAAAGAGCTGATGAAACAAAATGCGATCTGCGATCACCAGTTGGACAATAACGATCGAGAAAATGATTCCGGAAACGCACAAACGGATGCTTCATCGCAAGAGCGCGCGGATGCTAACGTGAAGAGCTCTGAAAATTATTCTAGCGACAAATTCTCGAAAGACAAGATCGCACATGATAGAATAATGATCGATTCATCGTCTCGTGATCCCAACAACGGATTCACCGACGATCCGGGATTTCATCAGACGGATGACGAGCCGACCACCATAAACTCACAGCCTCACGTTACGGGAACGAGAAATTCCGAAGGTGAGAGAAATTCACGCGGCTGTGAGATAAACACATGATTGCGTGGAACGTGACTGTGTGATTATACAATGAGCATTACGTCATCCGCCGTTTTCCCTAGATGCTGCTAGAATCGTAACGTTTCTATATATTCGCGAATCGCAAAACGAAACAGTTTCGGTTTCTAGTGAAACTACACATTTTTAATAGTAATACGATTGTACATCTTAAAAAAATTAAAATAAATTAATAAGAACAATATTAGATTAAAAAAAAAAAAAGAATTGGAATTTAAATTATTAAATTAATCTGAATTTACATACAATTTTATTAAATTTGAAACTCGAGATGAATTGATTATATGAATTGATGCTCTTGTATCTGCTAGGAACATCTTGCAATTGCAGTTTATTTTCTCGCTAGGCTCGCATCAAAGAGTAATTGTTCTTTGCTCGACACAAATATGTGAGGCAGTCGGTTGTTCATTGTCGACAATCCCGGATTCACATGGGATTAATTTATCTCTATCAAATATCTCTTTGAATCAATTTAGTTCCATCACTTCATCGATTTCGTTTCGGCATTATTACAATATTTTAAATTATATCGTTATATTATTGTATCATACATATAAATATCTCTCATTAATCAATGTCTTTCGCTATTTTCACAACATTATTACATAAAACAAAGTATAATACATAAAAAAATATAAAATATTAAAAGATATTTACTTAAATATTTAGGTAGATTTTACTTTTTCTCTGTGACTGTAGATAAATTATATTTTCTTGTTCAAGAAATATATTTTAAAACATGTATACATATCTAACTAAGGAATAATTTCTTTTGTCGACTAGAAAAAAAAAAGAAGGATTCTTAACGGACATGATAGATGGAGAACAATGATTAAAGCCTTAGAAATAAGTCGATGAATCGGTATACGATGATTATCCACGTTGTCACTCAGTAATAAGTGAAACAGGGTCACAGCCTGATCTATTATATGGCTTCTTCGACGTCACATCACGTTACATCACTCTCAAGATTCGATAACTCTTGAATATGATTATCCATATATATAAATATTTTATACTTATCAAACGATTGCAATTGCGATAAACAAATCGTTAATACAAATCTCTCTCTTCACATGAAGATGAAGTAATAAAATAAAAATTAATGAAGAATAACCCAAATCTAATTTAAAGCATTAGTTACAGAATCTAACACAACTTTCGATCGAGAAGAAATGCCATCCTATAAAATACGAAAAATTTTCCTATAAAATACTAAAAATAATAATAATAACTAATTTCGCATTACAAGTAGAGACAAGACACTTTTTTTTTTATAAATTATATCTTTGAGATATGAATATCGATTTAAGAATCTCAATTTATAACAAAAATAATGGACATTTAATTTTAAAAGGCTAAAGGGTCCCCCTTTATAATATTTCACAGAGTAAGATGTTTTTTTGGTATTTGTGTTAGACACTTTAAATAATTTAACGGAGGATTTGGACCGTAATTTTCCAGAATCTATATCATTTTCAAGGTCCGTACCCGTTTTCTTATACGAAACTTATACGAAGAGATCGAATCAAGTGCGCCTTGTTTGTCGAAGAAAAGATCGAGGGGCTGCGTTGTGACGTTGTACTAAAACAAAGGCGCGCCACCTTTTACAAGTAAAGTGACAAAGTTGCGTCCATCCATTTTCGAAACGAAATTGCTTAGTAGCCCAGGACTACTACCCTTCCGTCTTTATTCGATTCTCGTTAGATTTAATCCCATTTCAAAGCTATATCTCATCGATAAAATATTCCATTCGTCTCTTTCCTAATTTTTATTCGTATTCTCGAGACAATTCGTCTGATCAGCAAATTGTAAAAAGAGAATTCTTCTACGATGTAAATTATTTCCATGTAAATTTTGTATACGTTTTCTATGATATTATTCTGAAAAAGTTTACATATCTTGCAATACTTCGATTATGAAATAAAAATATGAGAATAAAAAAAAAATATAGAAGAGATTAACACCAGGAGAGATAAATTGAAACATTTTTTAACTTTTGTTTGTAAATTATATTTATAAATCTTCTTTATATTTGTCGAAGTAACGTCTACAGCAATGCAATTTTCTTTTACATCGATAAATCCCTATTTTACTTTGTTTCTTGAGAATTTGTGAAAAGGAGATTCAAGTGAATAAAAGGTTTTCAAATAATAAGTATTTGTTCAGATATAAACAACTTGAAAAAGGATATAAATCCTGATAGACCTATTTTCTTCTAAAATTGTCCAAGATTATCCGATTTCTCGTGAATCTTTCTTCATTGCTTTTTCTCTTTCTTTTGAGAAGATGCGAAAAAATATCGACTGAAAAAAATATGTGAAAAATAATATATATCTTTCATCTCGGAAAAATTGTTCTGAAAATTGTTCGACATAAAAAGATGATAATCTAATGCATAATCTGTCGGTTTAAATAGAGAAGCCGTGAGAATGTAGAAATAAGTGGAAACAGATCCTCTCCCGTAGGTATAACGGCCTCGTGTATCCTCCTGTAAGTTTATCAGCCTTCGGCGTGAGAGAAAAAGCGAAAAGCTCTCGGCGGGTCAAGGCTCTGGAGCTTGCGCACTGGGGCTCGCTGCTTTCCCGTTCACACGTCCGGGAGGTGGGTGTGCTTTTTCTCGTTCTCGGCGACACACGGGCGAGATACGGGCCGTATCTATCGAGAGCCGGCACACCAGAAATAGCCAACGCGGTAAACGCGCGCGTTTAGTTCCGTGGCGAAGACGCAAGAGAGTCGAAAAGCTCCGAAAAGCTCCCGTATCGATCCCGAAACGCCCGAGTTAATTTCCTCCGCTCGAATCTCGAGCTCGAAGAGTAAAAGCTCGTCTCGGGCGAGCGAGCAGGCACGCCCTCGCCGTCCCATCTTCGGGACGCATCTTCTCTCACGCTCGTGATGTGAAATAAATAGTACAATTCGAACAATCGAGTACCTTGTAACCCACGGAATCCACGGGAGAAGCGGAAGGACGAATCGAACATTTTCCGGGAGCATGTGATGGCCGCTGGAAATAAATCCGCGCGCCGTTTGCGTCGGATGCGTCGTTTAACGGTTTGAGGTACGCCCACTTGAAAATATACCGCGAAAAGGAAACTGTTGAATTCGAGAATTTAATTAACTCGTGTCAGCTGACGTCACAAACATTATTGTATGTTTGTTCGATATAAATATTTAAATCGAAGATGCGATTCGTAGAAATCTATTTCTGTACGAGTAATACGCCGGATTAAAATTTATCCGGCGAAAATACATTTCGTAGTTTAAATTAAAAAGTTTCAATTACAACAAATTAAGAAATTGTAGAGACGGCTTGGAGATTTTCAACAACTTTCTTTCGAAGGAGAGAATTTGTGATTTATTTTAACAAGAGCGTTTCAAGCGCTTCCCGAACTCGACGAACAGCGGCGGATCGTCGTTGCTTTTCAGTTATTGAAAAAGAGCCCGCAGCCCTATCACGATTTCTCTCAAATTCCTCTTGTCGGGGATGTCCATCTGCGGAATGACGAACGTCGTCCCATCGGTCGAGCCGTGAGTGAACTCGCGGAATCGAGAATGCAACTACCACGAAAGATGAGCGCTCACAACGTGATGGCGAGCATCGGTCGTACCTTGGGTAATCGCGAGAATAAACCGTCGCCCAACGAGGTTCGTTTCGCCGGAGACGAGCGAAAAGATAAGCTCTACGAGCCGAAGCACAAGCAGAAGCTAATACGAGTACTGACAGTGGTTGCGTACGTTATATTCGTCAGTATGGCTGCCATACTACTTTCCCTGTATTACACCTTCGTCTGGAATCCTAAGGATCAAGCGGTCAGGAAGATGAGAATCGACAAGCCGGAATGCGTAAACCTTCCTTCTATCAATTCCCTTACAACTCCGCCAGTGTCCAATGGTAAAGGCGTTGACACGTTTTAAAGGATATATACGATACGAATACTTTTTGTTCAACTAAAAATCACAAAGATATTTGTTGTAAAAGGATCAAGATCAACCTGATACGATGCAAGACTTTTGTTGATAATTGAACACGCTACTGAATAAAAATTATGACTGTAGAAATAATTCTAATAACGGAGGGAGGATCTCGATTTCAGAAGGCATAATAGTTTTTTTTCAATCAAAAATCACAATTCCAAGAGCTTTAGAAGATCCAAAAAGTTATAAAAAGGATATTAAATTAAAAAAAAAAAATCTAAAAATATATTTTCATTTGCTTAAAAAACAAATGTCTTATCAAATATCAGTTTTATGAAATTTGAATAATACTAATATCTGATGTCATGTTATAAAATTGTTATATAGAAATTTGGAATAATTAAATAAAATTAATTTCTATAATTTACTATAAGTTATAAATACTTTATCATAGTCGTACTAACAATTTAATGCTTTTTTCTTTCACAGAGACACAAATTGAAAAGATGACAGCGAGATCTACTACATTAGATAATAAACAAGTGGAGCAAATGGATTCGATCACACAACAAAAAAGTTTCTCAGAAATTTTTACGGATATTGCGATCGAGGATACATCTGTAGAGTTCACGTCGATATCTACAATGCAGGAATATCACGACAATTTCACTAGCATTACGAACAAAGGTGACGAAAGCGTTACATAAGCGAATATTAGACTTAAGACACCTCATGTTGAAAGTAATAAAGAGCAAGGAAACCAAACAAGTAATGACTAATAGAATATCAATATCTATTAGTACGTATACAGAAGAGAGTTTTTTTCACTTTTGCGGACAGAAAACGTTAGAAATCATATTAATCTGAATTTGCCAAATACGAGAAATCTTGTAGAGTCTAGAACTACACTTATGCAAATATAGAAACTAGACATATTTTAATAATTTAGATATTTAAGCGTTTAGAATTATAGACTATCGCATCATAATAATAGAACAACAATAATAATAAATAATTGAATTATAAATAAAATTATCGCAGAGATTTCGTCATTTCTCTATATAAATTAAATTATAAATTTTGTATCTATATTACAAGACGACTAGAGAGATTAGAATATAATTTTTCATGAAAGTTCATTTATTCAAATTCCTTTCACTACGTTTTTTAGTATTATATTGGTAGAAAAAATACTCAAGAATATTTTTGTAATTATTAGTATTTGAAATTAGAAGTATTTGCGCAGAAACACAATACATAAATTCTATAATAATTCTATTATTAATTCTAACGTAATAATTATCGAAATTAGAATTCACATCTGATAAGTATCTTATACAAATTTTATATGACTGAAATAAAGGGCCTATATTATTAAAGTAATTATTTTATTTACATTTTATTTACAAAATAATTACTTTATTTACAGAGATAATTATATTAAATTATTGAAATAATTATATCTAATTATTCTTTTATATAATCTCTATATTAATAATTATTATCTTTTGCGTCACACAAATAGAAAAAGTATCCGACATCTCAACATTTAATCGTGTGTACTTTAGATTCCGATTCTATCATTTTAGTGGCTCTATTCTGACCTACAATTTGTGCAAGTGTAATGGCGTCGAATTTATTGTAAATAACCGTTATCGACATATTATATTCCGAACCGGCACGTGGATTCTGATACAAATTGTCCATCAGATTACACATTTCGCTATAGAAATGTGGATAAGTAGGCAGCTGATAAAATATAAGGTGGCGGATACCCTTTACCCTCGTTCTGCGCCAAAAATGCCAGCGTTCCGTGTAGAGGAGGAAATGTGCGTCACTATGAAAGAACATATCTCTTGCTCGAGCGACTTTCCGATCTTCGGTGTATTCGCTGATCATTGCGAAACTCATCTTTTCCTTCATCATGCGGTTCCGTAAATATACAAAATCGAAATAGCACGGTATGTAGATTAACGTATGATTATATATAGGATCCGTGTATCGTGGTAGTATTTCTTTTAGGAAAAAATCCAATCTGCTATCGATAGCCTGACAAAGATCAGAAGCGTCGAATCTATAAAACACTTGTGGAACTTTGATTTTCACCTTGTGAATTGAGCCCGGCTCCAATGCATTCGCCACTTTCACCTGACCAGCATAATTGGAACATTTTTTAATAAGCAGTGTGTTTATGTACGGTGTCTCGATGCTAGAGAAGATCAATGTCTGTCTGTAGTACTTCGTCCAGCCATTCACGCACCAACTTCTAAGACGAGAATAATCAATATCATGGGACTTCTTGGGCTGTAAATGCATGTAATCCAATACTTGATATAGATGATCCCAGTTCTGCATAAGAACTAAATCAATCTGATCCATGATCAGCAATTCTATAGAAGACAGAAAGTCATAATCTCTCACCGTTTCGCCCTCTGCACCTACCACTCTCCTAAGACCCAATGGTGAGCCAATTATAATATCAGAAGAGTAAAAATTTGTATATAATTTGAGAGTTTTCTTAGTAATTGCCATACCTATTTTGAATTTGTCATCAATATTTCCTTGTAAGTTTAATTTATAATCTTCTGGTTTAGGATTTTTCTTAGGCATTGCTAATTCATTTCCAGTAAAATCCTCCATGAATCGTAGCTTGTTGATGACAGAGCCACCTTTGTCTTCTCCAAATAAAATTGAGATAAACATTTCAACTATTTTCAAACAAGAATGTTTGAACGGTACTATTATGAGTACTTTGGGCCTTACTAAACCTTGATCCTTGTATTCGTCTGGAACTTCTCCCATGCCACTGCAATTAGATTTTGCTAATTTTGCACTATGATGTAATATTTTCGTTCGAGTCTTTAACACATGATTAATTACATGCAGACAGTAGACAAATCGTATTTCATCGGAATTCGAAAATGTTCTTTCAGGATAATGTAAATCTTGATAATTATTTATCACTGAAAACAATTCTCTTTGAAGAGGAGTCAAAGGTACAGAATCCTTTTCTATAGTATTTTTTATATTATTGTAGTTTGCTTTGATTAAATTATTCTGAATTTGTGATTTTACATATAATTTGTTCCAATCAATATTTTCAATCAGACTTGGAACTTTACCATAATTTGTATATTGTTTTTCGTCATCTAGAAGCTTTTTGATTTTTAGTGGCTTGTTATTTGGATCAACAGGAGGTTTTGGAATTTGACATACCAGATTTCCAAGAATGGGCCATGATAATGTTGTAGCCTCTGTAACCTGTGGTGTCGAAGAAACTGCTTTATACAATTCATCATCCATATCATTGCGTAAATGTAAAGAAAATGGATCTCTCAAGTGACCAGCATCCTCTTGTGCAGTCTCATCATCTTCATAATCATCTTCTTTCATGTTAATTGTAATCATTTCATCTTGATCAGATAATTCTTCATTTGCTACAGATTCTTCATTTGCTTCAGATTCTTCACTCTTTTCTTCTTCAATCTTCCTCTTTTCCAATTTTTTCAATTTTTTCTTTTTCTTTTCTGTTTTGTTTGTTTCATTCTTATCCCGTGTATTTGAATCTTCATCTTCACTTTCTGAACTGGTCACAATTGGCTTTCTTAATTTATCAATTAAATTTTTATGTTTATAACCAGATAATTTAGATAGATATAGCAACCAAGAATCAACTTCTTCTTCTTCTTCAGAACTTTCAATTTCTGCAAGTCGTCTGCGTGTCGTCTCTTTCTCTACTATTCGTCTACGAGCTTCAATCTCTTTATTCTTTACCTTACGTTCTTGAATATAAGAGGTTGTTCTGAGGTCAAATTTTTCTTTTTTTGACTTTGGTCGGTTTTGTGCATGGAATTTTCTCTTCTTGCCACGTAATGATTGTTTTCCCATTGGAGCCATCAAAATGATGTAATTTTAATTCAATCTATACACGTGTTACTATAATCAACAAACCGAAACAAAAAGATAAATGTTTATATAATTAACTTAAGTTGAAAGTTTAATAATACGATACAACTCGCAATTATTTTTATTGTAAAATTAATTTTATATTTACTAAAAATACATTATGGATGTTTGTGCATTTAGAAGTATGTAATATATACAAAATAACACAATAATTAATCAACTTTCGTTGTTATTAAAAAATAATAACACTTTAACATATTCTTTTAAATAAATTAAGTTTTTTAATAGATTTACCATTGATTTATTTATCCACTTAATAAAGAGTATCCATTCAGTTAATCACGTGCCTCTACTCCGTACACAAACTCGAATACATGTACATAACCTCGCAGTATTCTCTTGTACTTCATCACATACACCATATTTGTGTGTGGTTGACCGAGTTGAGAGGAATCAACCAATCATGTTAAAGCAAAGAAAAAACGTAGATTGATACGTAACTATAGTCCTGTTTTTATCTGGATTTCTTGTACCATTTATTTTTATTCTTTTTTTTATCAATATCTCTTTATATTGAAGAGAAAAAAAGAATAAATAGGATTTGGATCGTGTGACTTATTTTGATGTTAAAAATGAGCGTCAGTATGAAAATGAGTATCAACATGAAAAGGCATCTTTATATTCTAGCCAATGCATGATTCCTATTTTTGCGATTTGATTCATCGAAATTAAATCGCGAAATCAATGCAAAATAAATTTTTCTCTGTTATTCTTATAAATAAAAATATAAAATAATTTTTTTATAAAAGTCTTGAATAATAGTTTAATATTATATTAATCCCAAAAATTTCTAATGCCATTTTATATACAAAAGAATTCATTTGAATGAGATTTTTGATGATATGTACGATGAAAATGATCCGTTAAAAGGAATCAGGAAAAGAGCTAGTTCCGATGTTTGATCATAGACATTTATATTATATACTAGACCGCTAACTCTTCTATTTACTGAGTCTGAAAATTGACTCCAAAACTTATGTATTACATAATGTGACGAAAGGGGAATAATGATGTCATGTGATCAAAACAAGTCACGTGTCGGTATATATAACATATATGGGACTTTCATACGCATGCGCATGTGTTTTTGTACATGCTTTCCGGGGCCATATATTTGAGGCAAGTTAGCAGTCTAGTATATAAATATAAATGTCTATGACTGCGTTCAGCAGAGAAAGCAGATCGGTGAGCGCTCAGTGATTTTTCAATATGATTGGTCCTTGCCTTTAGATCTTCATTGAATGTAAGTGTAGAAACCAATCATAATAAAGAATTGTGGCGGTGTGTCCCCCGCTTACCAACTAATATCTAGCAAAATATCCATGAAAAGAACGATGGCCTGCATAGCGCAGTGATAGCGCGCCTGCCTCAGACATCTGAGGATACCTAGGTTCGAATCTCACCGCGGTCAACATCGTTTTCGTCAAATTCAGCACATCGTGGACAACACTCCTTACCAATGCCACAGAATCATTACTGAATGCTCACTGATCTGCTTTCTCTGCTGAACGCAGCCTATATTGCAGAATCACGTGACTTTTGTACTTGAATCGGACCACAATTTCTGCCACGTGTCACCAAAAGGACGATGCTTAGACTGGACTTTTCATCCTGACGCTCGACGCTCATTTTTAGCGTCAAATTAGATCACGTGATCAAAAATGACCATTCAGAGTTTACTATTCTGTTTAATTTTGATCATGTGATCTAATTTGACGCTAAAATGAGCGTCAAGCATCAGCATGAAAAATCAGCCTTAGGGATAGCGTCCTATTGTTCACGTTGCCGACTGGCCAATTTAAAATAAAATTTTTTGATTGGAGATTCCAGTGGAAAATCTCTAGGCATCAGTAACTGTAAGTGACTGTGTCCAATTGCAACGTGTCAAACGGGGCGCTCCCGAACGGCGTTCATTTGTATTTCAGTGATGATGAAGCAATTATCACGAACAGTCATGATTTATAAATATCTAGACGCGGCGTGAATACTTGAAAAGTATCACGTAGTAACAGGAATGAGTTTATGATGCTCAGGATACCTTCGAAGCAAGCTTATCTTATCTTTTTCAATCTGGACTGAGATAAAACCCTTGTCAAAACTCCGTCTTTCTTCTGTCGTCTTTTCTCGTTCCTACTTAACGGGTAAGTGAACTGTCGAAAATTTTTCAAAACCGCTCGATATTACATTTTTTATATGCAAATACGGTAGTGATACGTAATTTTTGAAGCGTTTGTAATTTATATTTTATAAGAGATGTCCGAATGTCGAAATGTTTTATATATTTATATATTCCAAGTTACATCTTATTCCAATTATTATATTCCATATTACTATTCTATTACTTCACACTATTTGTTTATCGACGTTGACGTCCGTAGCCTTTTGCCAGACGAATACCGTCGTGAAGTTGGTTGCAGATACACACACATAAAAAGAGAGGCACATATACGCGCACATACATGGCTTTCATCGAGTGTGTGTTTGTACTTGTGACCAACTTCTCAGGGAAGTCGCGTCTTTCGTCTGGCATCTTCGTTCAAGGTAAACGTATCCTAGCGATATGTCGAAGTTGCGGATTTCAAACGCATTCAAGTCAATCATTATCGCGAGTCGCAGGAAGTTGCATTCCACTTTGCCGTGCGCCGCGAAGATCGCTCGCGCAGCGATTACACACACAAAGATCGAGGACCCGACCGGCAAATTGTATTCGTGGTGGTGCGTTAGGTTTGAATATGTCAAGTACCCACGAGACCTCCAGCTCATTGGATCGTGAAATAAGTGATATCTCGCGAATAATATATTCGAAAGACATTTCTCGACTTTTGACGGTACAAATAAAAATAAAGCTTTAATTGTCTCACTTGTATTTTTTGCTTATTGAACATTCCGATCTCAAGGGAGTTAATATTTGTCAATAATACGACAGAGATTTTTTTTTATATACAAGATAAAATTGGATTGTTGTATTTATTTTTTTAAATATATTTGTTGGTTTAAGGAATAATATAGGCTATTCGCATAATGTAGACAGATAATTTCAAGCCTACAATTTATTTCTTTCAGTGCGAAACGGCTGTATTCCACGATGAGTGTAGATCTTACTTTGTATACGTTACCCAACAACCAACCTGTTGTTGCATTAGAATGTGAAACTGCATTCAATTCTTTGACACAGAGGGAAAAATTATATGCTCATTATCTGAGCCAAGCTGCATGGAATGGAGGTTTAATAGTATTAATCCAGACATCACCTGAATCTCCACTGATATTTGCACTGTTGCATAAAATTTATCTTGCGGAATCTATCGATGAATTGAAGGCTGCTGCAATAAGCGTTGGCATTACTGATGAGGAATTTACGGTAAGGAGAGTCTTTTCTTTTACATATATCTTTTCTTTTATTTCTTATTTTTATAAATTGTTAAATAAGCATTCATTTAATAGCAAGACACATTTTGATTTCTAGGCTTTTCTAGTTTATAGCTGTGGGATATATGCAAATGTAGGAAATTACAAGGCCCTGGGTGATACTAAAATCATCCCTAATTTTCCAAAAACGGCGTTTGAAACAATAGTGAAAGCTTCAAAGGCTTACAAGAACAATCCTGAAGAGATACAAGATATATGGAATAATATATCAACTGCTTTATATTCCTTAGATGGCAAAGTGAAATCATTAGGATTAGGTGATAAAGGTATTACAACTTATTTCTCCATAAACTGCACTAAAGAAGATGCGGATAGAGTCAACGCGTTTATGCAACATAAAGGATTGGAATCCTATAACGCAAGATGCTTTAAAACAGTAGTACATGATCCTGTGACTAATGGTAATATCGATGTGTATGAAATTAAATTGGCATCTGTGGAGACGTCAGATGATCCTAAAATAACACTGCCCGAAGAAACATATGAGAATGCTAAATTTAAAATTACAAGAGGAGATTATAGTAAACTCATGGTACCTGTTGTGGAAAATCTCAGGAGAGCTAAAGAATATGCATCTAACCAGGTCGAGAAAGATATGTTGGATAAGTACATCGATCATTTCAGAACGGGCTCTTTGGATGATCATAAGGATGGTTCTCGTCTTTGGATTCAAGATAAGGGACCGTCTATCGAGACTTATATTGGCTTCATCGAGACGTACAGGGACCCGGCTGGTCAACGAGGGGAATTTGAAGGCTTTGTGGCAATGGTGAACAGAGAGATGTCTGAGAAATTCACTACGCTGGTCAATAGAGCGGAGGAATTTATTCCAAAGTTACCATGGAACAAAGACTTCGAGAAGGATACGTTCTTGAGACCAGACTTCACATCTTTGGATGTTCTTATGTTCGCGGGCTCCATTATTCCGTCGGGTATAAATATTCCGAATTACGACGAGATTAGGCAAAACGAAGGCTTTAAAAATGTATCATTAGGGAATGTTATACCGGCGCACATGAAGGATACTCGCGCGATTCCCTTCTTATCCAATGCCGATCAGGAATTGCTGCAGAAATATAGGATAGCTAGCTTCGAAGTGCAAGTTGGTCTACATGAGCTTCTCGGCCACGGTACCGGTAAATTATTCAGACAGACGGGACCGGACACTTACAACTTCGATCGCGAGAACGTAAGGAATCCGCTTACCGGCGATAAAATAGATAAATTCTTTTTGAAAGGAGAAACTTATGATTCTAAATTCGGTTCCCTGGGCTCCACGTACGAGGAATGCAGGGCAGAAGCAGTCGGTATTTACTTGAGCTTGGACAAAGAAGTGATGAGCATATTCGGTCATGAGGGTCAGGTAGCGGAGGATATAATCTATGTGAATTGGTTGTCTCTATTATGGAGTGGTTGCGCAAAGGCCTTTGAGATGTATCAACCAGACACACAAACATGGTCTCAAGCTCATTCTCAAGCGCGTTACGTTTTGCTTAGAGTGTGCCTGGAAGCGGGCCAGGACTTTGTCAATGTCGTCGAAACTGAGGAAGGAAAGAACCTTCTTTTGACCGTTGATCGAAGCAAAATTTTCACAGTTGGCAAGAAAGCCATCGGAGATTTTCTCCTGAAACTGCAAGTTTACAAGAGTATGGGAGACGTTGAGTCGGCTAAAGAAATGTACAACAGGTACAGCGAGGTACCTGAAAGCGGTCCATATCCATGGGCTCGCTGGAGAGATATAATCCTGTCTCGTAAGGAACCAAGGAAGATATTCGTTCAATCAAATACATTTATTAATGGTTTGTACTGATTAAAATTTTTAAATTTTCTTTATATATATATATATTTATGATGTTCTTTAGATATTTGTGTTGTCTTATGTATGTTTATAGTGGTATTTTCTTAAATTTAATTTTTTTCCATCTGCTTTTCAGGCTCTGATTCTAATAATGTGACACTGAAGAATTACGAATCGTCGTTCGCGGGACTTATTCAATCGTGGATAGAGAGATTCCCAAGTTCCAATATATCTCAAACGCTGATAGAGCTTTGGAATAAAGATAAACAACATTTCGTGCCGGCGAATAATTAATCGGAGCACTTGGAGCACTTACTGTCTAATGGCTGAAATCTAGCTATTCGCGAATCTAAAACGATCGTTATGGAATTTATTACTTTTCTATACTTTTTTGAATACGAGAGTAACGAAGATCGTCTAGATTCAAGATTGAATGTACATATGATACATAATTTTTCATTTTTTGAAACTGTATTCGCCAGTGGCTGTAGATTGTAATATATCGCGATCTTTATATTCCGATCTAGCATTTGTCGCTAAATTATTCGTCTAAATTATTCTTCATTCGGACAGCTAATTTAACGCCAAGTGTGTGAGTTACGAATATGAGAAGATGCATTTGAAGTTAGAAATATCCCAAAGTTATGGGTTTGTGTATGGAATACAAGAGCAACTGTATGTTATATAAGAGCATGTTATTCTATAAAGGCAATTTACATTTGTAAACTAATTGCATTTTTTATTACTTTTTTTATAATATACAAGAATTCTTTTTTATAATATACAAGAATTTTATAATATACAAGAATGTATTATATTCTGCAATCAATACACGACGTTGTCAAATTAATCTAATCAAATTGATCTAGAGTAAATTCCCGAAATTATTCAAGAAAGTTCTATTAACATTTTTTCATATATATAAAATCTATTTGCTTTGTATTCTTTCACTCTTTATATGTAGCATCGTACTTTTGTACTTGAGAACGAATCCAGAATCTAATCGAAGAACTGTGAATTGTGAAAAGTAAAAATTCGATCGCAAAAAGCTTTGTGATTAAATTTTGATTTTTTTTCCTCTCATGTCATACGCTTTATCTCGAATGTAAAAAAAAAATTTAATAAAAAAAAGACAAACTTCTACAAAGAGCAATCTTGTATTCGTTCTGTACGCGCATGCGGATTTCCCAACACTAATATCGGTGTCTATACATCTATATAGTTCGACTGAGTTTGGCGGCAAGACGCTTGTGAAAGCGAGTACGACACGCGTGCAAGATGGAAATCGTGGAAAGAAGGGAATCTTTACGGGGACTGTTTCAGGATTTGGGCTGTAAAGTCGAGAGTGATGCCGTCCTCGATAAATGTAAGCATTCCGTTGAGATCTTACACAATTTTTAAGTATCGAGAATTTTCTTTTCTGGAATTGTGCTTTGCCTCGATTTCTTACACGGAACATGAAATTTGTTATAAATCAAATTCCGATTGCATTAGAAATACAATTATCGTAGCATTGGTTCAAGAGAATGCGTTTTTTTTTACAAAATAAAATTTTAATACGCATAATGCAAATATTTCAGTCGATTTCACTCTTTGTATAACCTTACTTTTAAGATGTAGAATCTCAGTTTTTTGTATCGTAAATAATAAAGATTGGGAAAGATCTTGGAAAGATTTAAAAAATAAATTTTAGTTTTATCAATTACAGCAAATTTAATCACAATCGAATTTATTATTTTATTTTGTTACTTGTAATTCTGCAAAGAGAAACAGAAATTATGAAAGAGAATTGTGATTTGATTCTATTGATATGAAAGTTGAATATCAGGATTCTTTTAAATTCATATTTTATCTGAATTGTGGATATATTGAAAATTCTATTTTTTAATATTAATTTAATTGAGAAGTAAACAATGTTCATGTCTGAATTGGTTTTCTTATTGAGTTTACTTGTGTGATAGGTTTCGAATTTTGTGAGTCTTACGATGTGGATGTGGAGAAGCTCACAGAATTATGGCTTACTTTTTGTGTCAATAATAACACTGATATCGATCCCACCGTTAACACTCTGATCAAGATGGAACATGCAGTATTAAAGGATTATAAGTTGCATGATTCAACTGTAGAAAATAATGTAAATCAAGAACAAAGCACAGCAGAAAAACACTTTATCTCAAAAGAAGTTGCGTATCCTTTGATGTTTCATGAAATCTTTATTTGAATTTTTCGGCATATAAACAAACAAAATTTAATAGTTATAATTATTAATAACTTACGACGATTAGTATATGTAATAACACCTTACATATTAATATATAGCAAAAATGATGATGTACTTAGTATGTATGGCTGTGCTGAAAGCGGACCGTCGAAGGTGAGTTTTTCATACAATTTTCTATATTAATTTAATTATATACAAAGAATAGTATATATATATTTTCACTTAAAACATATGCTGCGATTGATACTAAATCGTTAGACTGTAAGCTACAATTAGAGATAATAGATACAATATATAGTCAATTTGTGCTTACATACACTTGTAAGTTAAAAATTTTTATTTGAAACAAAATAACGGCTTGTATTGACAAAGTATTAAAAAAAAAAGCAAAACAGATCAAAAAGATGAAAGTAAATGGGATTATTTGTTATTTTTGGTCTGTTTTTATTTTTCGTTTTTATTTAAATCTAAAATTGAAAAAATATTGCCAAGATTATTATATATAATTTAAAGAAATAAATACCAATTGTTTTTGTCTATAACATAATATAAAGACTAAAATTATTTGGTAGAATTTTGTGCCGAACTATTTTTGTGAATTTTAGATATTTTATTTAATTCAACATATTTTATTTAGTTACTATTAGTTAGGTATTTTTTAATCTTGAAAATGTAACATTAGAGAAAACTTGACTGCTAAATTCACATTATTAAATTGATTATTAATTTAATATCATTATATTTATTATTATTATAATGATATTGAAAGTATATATTTTTAGCAAGTATTTCTTTGTCTATAACATATATGAGTGAGGGATCGAGACAATGTTGTTAGATTGTTCTAGTGTTTGAAATATTCAAAAAAAGAATGTTCGAGAATGGACCTTAAGAAGAGAAGAGAAATAAAATTTTATCACGCAGTTTAATATTTATCAAAGCAAGCCAAATATTGTCGGAACAATTTTCTTTCTTTCCGAGATATACTTATTTTTAGGAAAAACTTTCTACTATTATTTCTATTTCTATTCTTTTCAAGATCAGTAAGAATGGCTTTGTTCACGAGCATTTCAAATGTACCTGAATGCTTTATGCCATTCTCCTATACTACCAACATTGTTTCATCTCCACATTGTTCATGGATTTCCGATTAGTGTGTAAAGCATGTCGTATTTCTAAATGTACATTTCATTATTGCGCTGCAATCTTTTTCGTTGGATAAAGAAGCAAGAATTTTTGAAACTCGTCTCCTATTTCTCGGGAATATTGAAAAGGAAGAAGAGAAGGAGAAAAAGAGGAGGAGGAGGAGAAAGAGAAGGAAGAAACAGCATCATTACAGGATCTCGCGTGAAGGCACCGTAATTCCCGCCACAAAAATTGGCCAGGTAGAGATCCCTCCCCTCCTCCCATGCCGGTCCGTTCTCTCTTCGCGAAGGGATACTTGGTGAGGGGAGGGGGGCAAGAGAGCCGTTTCCATTGGCGGAACGAGGACGAGGAGTGCGCTATTCGCGGGGAAAGGGAGAGGAGGAGGAATTCTTCCTCCCTCCCCTGTCCCCTTTGGCCGAACAGATCTCTTTCGAAGGGCACGATTTCAGTTTTCAAGGACTCCGGTGCGTCGTTGTCGGTTCGTTGCTCGTGTTCTCGGCATTTATGCACGCCTCGTCGGCGCGGATAGGTAATAGTTTTGTGCGATTCTTTCGCCCGCGACTCGCTTCACGCTCAACCGCTCGCCGAACTAAGGTATGCATCTAGCGATCGCGTTACGTCCGGTATCGCCGCTCGCGTATCGCGCGCAGCTCGGTATCTCTCGATGGCGTCCGCAACGCGACGCCGCGCCGCCATCGGCGTCTGACAGGCGTGTGTCTTCGCGAGTGAGATAACACCTCGGGCCGCATTTTCGCACGGCGATCGGTTCGCGCGGGAAAATTGTTGACGGCGTCCGCACGTCGATCGTGGATGTCGTTTTCGAGAAATTGCTCGTTATGGCCAACGACAATGACGACGACAATGACAACGGCGGCGGTGATTACGATTACGTGATGGTGTGCGAGAAGAGCGGCAACATCGGCGGCCATGATGGATCGACTTTGCTCGAGCGAAGCTCAAGTGTGACGAGGAAATCCCGAACGGATCGCGCGACAATATGTTCGAGATTTTTCCGCATCCGATGGAAGAATTCGACGGAAGCAGCGAGAGGAAGGTCGATCTCGCTCGATCGGTTTTTCGTGTCGCGATCGATGCGCGCGTGCGCGCGCGCGCGTAGCAGGCGCGCGTGCGCACGCGCCTCGTGGGAAAGAGACAACGCGCCGCGCGGACGCGAGTGCGACGACCGTTGACTTCAGCGAATCCTGTTGATTCGCGCCGTTCGCCGCTGCAACCTGTTGCGCCGACAACCAACGATAACTTCACGGTAATCCGCAGGTTACTCTGTTCCTCCCGGCTCCGTTATACTTTCTAAACTTACAAGTGAGATGGATATATAATTAGACGTTAGATGATCGGTGGGAAAAAAAGGAGAAGGATAAAGAGTACGAAAAGCTGTGTGAAAACACACAAGAAATAAATCTCACGGCTCTTTTACGTGGAAGATTCAAATTCCACCGCCATTAAAGATCGCGGATTAACATTTTTAATGTTTATCGCATCGAGATAATTCTTCACGGTCTTCTTTACAGCTGAACTAATATAATTACTTCATATTTAAAATGGAAATATATATATTTGACGTTTGGTGAAAGCGAGAAAGAAATATTTTAGTCCTAAACGTAATTTGTTTCTTAACGACGCCAAAAATTGAATCGGGGAATGTGTTCGATGCGTTAAATTCCCGAAATTGCATAATTCTTGTGTACTCGTAGAATCCACAATTTTTTTATTATTTATATATAATATTCCTTGAAGTTGCTAATATATACATATTACTTTTTTGCTCTTCTCGCTTTTAGACTTTTAGAAATAAGGACTAAATTTATGGAGCGATAAATAGTTAAGGGGGAAAAATTTCTCCGACCCTCTTTTTGGTCGCTTCAACATGGCGGTAAAGGGTCGAAATTTTCCAATGGAACCTTTCACTGACGGCGCGGAAACCCCGTCAGCTTCTGTCGGCTCTCGCCGTCAACTTTCTCTTCTTCGATCGTTCGCCGTGGAGAGTCGTCGAGAGACGCGTGTTCCCGCCGATAAGCAACGCGAATAACTCGTGCCCACCGATATCGCGTTTGACCGACGGATTTCTCTGTAAGCGCGCGCGCGCCCGTTGGTGTCTCTCCATCAATTAACTACAATTGAACAACAACTGTTCCAATCTCTTCCCTCGTCGCACGGCTTTCGGCTCGTCGCGCGCTTCTTTCGTCTTTGGTCTTCGTGCGTGACTCAGACGAGGAACAAATCGATATTTGTACACGTTCGGAAGGACACTCGCCGATCGGGACGGTCGGATGTGAGTTACGATTTATTTGAAAGGTAAATATCAAAGAGGACAATCGGATCAATATTACGGAAAATATCAGAGTGAGATGACTAGGAAGAGATACGGTTAGATGATCTTTTGTTTCGTAAGTAGCTCCCACGGATTGCTTGAATGTCCTTGTAGATGAATTGTTAAATCTCTTTGTGGTAAAATTTTCTTTTAATATCGGATGTTAATAGGTTTTAAACTGGTCACGCGATCTAAAACGAGAAGATTCGAGCACTCGATATAGTACGGATAAAATGTTTCTTTTCTCTTTAACGAGTATACGCTAAAATCTTTGTATATCTCTAATGTTCAAACAATTATATTATCGCGTTGAGGAAAAACTAGGAATGCCCGTGAAGGAATATATCTCGAAGTTTCTCGATCATTTCTACGTCGAATTTCAAATATCTGTTTACCACTGTTGTTTTACATAATGCTTTGTTCGTCGATGTTACAACGAATCGAATTCGGATTGCCACTTCCTTCGATACCTGCCTTACTTCAAGTGGAAAGTACAACATAACGCATCCACAAAGAACAGACTATGCATCCGACGAGAGAAGAGAAGAGAGTACAAAAAAAAGGAAAGGATAGAGCGAGAGGGAACGTGTCACGTGCGAACGAACGTTACTCGCGCATGCGCACCAACCGAATCACTCCGATCGAGAGAGAGAGAGAGAGAGAGAGAGAGAGAGAGAGAGACGGACGGCGTCGGACGGACGGTAGTGTAGGTCGGTACGTGTCGTCGTAGTAACGTTGGTAGTTAGGAAACGTAAGTACGACGTACGTAATACACGAGAGGCGTACGTCAAGACCTAGTATCGCTATTAACCTCTATGCTGCTGTCGCGAATACGCGTCGCGTCGTCGTCCGTTTACCCTTACCCGAAACGCGGTTCGCGTAGCACGCGTTGCTAGTTGCGAGAGAGTCGCCGGTTCTCTTCTTTCTTCCTCCTTTTTCGAGTAGAACGCAGAGAAAGGAGAAGAGAGAGAGAGAGAGAGAGAGAGAGAGACGTTACATTTGTAGATATTTTCGGATTTGTCCGAATGAGTGGCGGTCTAGTGCACGGTCGATAAAGTTGTGACTAGATCCACACTCATTAAGCACGTTCGAGCATCGCAGCCACATTCAGAGCGTTCATCGAAAACGGGGGAAGTTCTCCCTTCCCTTGATTCTTTTCGTCTTCTGCACCAAGAAAAATTGGAGATGGAGTAGCATTCTCAGGAACAGATCGATTTAGATTAATCGCGAGCGAGCGAACGAGCGAGAGAGATTCGATCGATGGGATTATCACTATTATAGCGACGGAATATTCGAAACGGAATGAATTATGCTCGAAGACGGAGAAAGAGGGTAATTCCATAGACGAGTGTGGATGTGGTGCACGTGCATTTAATTATTTCGTGACTAGATACATACTCGTCTACGGCAATCTGTCTTTGGTATTTGGAAATATTTCGAGTGTGCGCGTATATTGTTATCTGTGTACTATTAGCGATTTCGCAAAACGCATCTCTGCTGTAAACTCATGATGGAAAGCCTCGTTCTTTTGTTACGCAGCTTGATATGATATGTAATCATACCTGTTACGTATATATATATATATGTATATACATAAATGATATGTAATATAGTTTGATAAAAAAAAATAGATAAGTCAAAAACAAAGTTTCCTATTCCTACTGTAAAAATGATAACGTTAAGATATTGAGATCATAACTTGTAACATGTGATAAGATTTTATGAATAATTATTTTATGACCTGTAAATATTTGAAATACTTTATACATGTAAAATGTAACAGTGTGTCTACTATCTGGAAAAACTTGGAATTTTCAGAAAATTTTTTTTCAAGTTACTCTTTCTAATATTTTATCTTTATAATATAATTAGAAGTTTACTGAATTGTTAACAGTGAATTAATTTATTCTAAACATCAGAGTATAAGACTGATCTTACGACTAATTCAATATTCAACATTAATAAGATAACAATTTTGATTAGGTTATAATTTTATTTAATAAGATAGATATTTATTTTAATAGTTTTATAAAAGATAAATGTTGATTATGCGTTATATAATTTTTTGTTTGTAGCTTTTGAAAATAAAGTTTGAAAATTTTATGCAATATAAGATATTAATTTTTTTAGAATCCTTATATTTCTTTCAAAATTTTTCAAATTTAATTATTGAAATTCGAATAATCCCTAATTTTATTTTGTGATTTATAAATTTTTATAAATGGAAAATATTCGGAACTTTGCCTGATATATATGTTTATAAAATACATTTAAGAAAATATTTTTATTTTACTTGGAATCTTTGGAAAATTATCTTGAAAATCAGAAAATTCTCATGAAATTTTTTGGGGGTTAGGCACTTTATTGAGTAGGCGCTCTATATAATTTTATGTGATTTGTAAATATTTGAAGTATTAGATATACATACAAGTTAACTATAAAACAGCACCGTTACTATAAAATAGTACCGATTGGACTCGCACATTCAGAAAATGAGTAATGCGCCTGTTCCCCCTTTTTTTTTGTAGCGTATGCGAAAGAGTCCGGAAGTAGAAATCGACACGGATGCAAGGGTTAGTAAAACGAGAGTTGCGGAATCATTTTCATCAGCTACCGTCTCTGAAAATTCGTAAGCAGATCTTCCAAATGGATACTCAAGCGCGTAATTTAAAGTTTTCCAGTTTTAAGATTAAATTTTCTTATATATTAGACCATTTTTTTGTACTAATATAGAGAGATTAACATGTTTATAGAACATCAATCCGAATGCTATTTGAAACTTTTTTTAATATATCTTGAGAGAATTTGACAAACTAACAATTATAAAATCAAATATATAAAATTACAACATTTGATACAGATAAAAGTATTTAAATTATACCATTATTTCATGTTTCGAACGTTTTTTGGTACACAAAGTAAACTCTGTCGTTTACAGAAGCACGCCGAGTCAGCGTAATATAACGGATAAGGTTTTACTTTCTACTGGCGAGGCTGTCGTGTCTTGGAAGAGAACAGGCGATCACGATGTCGACGTTACAAAATCCGACGAACCGCATGTCCCCAGCGATGCGAAGTATATGTACGAAATCCTGTCGAAGCAAGGACACCTTATCACGTTTGTGTGCCAGAATTTGGGCAGCAGACTGGTCAAGGCATGGTCGGCAGCGACCGACAACTCTGCCCAGCCGCGTTACGTGAAAAATGTGCGAAGCGTGAGTCAGATAAACTTCCGGACGTTCGGCCGTATCAGAGTGAAGAAGGGATCCGCGAACACGGTGGTGTTGGAGGGTAGTACGAGGCGGAAGGGCGCCCCGGTGGCTGACACGGTTGAACTGGACTTCCGGAATCTGAAACGGTACTCGGTGTTCTCCGGTCAGATTGTGGCGGTCGAGGCCGTCAATCCGACACGCGACGTATTATACGTGGAGAAGATATTTGGAAAGTTATACGCGCCGCTCGCGTCGACGCCGAAAATCGAATCGAGAGTCAATATTTTCGTTGCGGCGGGTCCGTTTACCGCGTCTAATAATATGCACTACCAGCCGTTGTGGGATTTGATGGAGAAGGTCGCGTCGGATGAACCGCAGGTTCTCATATTAGTTGGACCGTTTTTAGAATACACACATCCTGAGATGCAAGACAACGTTGCGGATACTTTGTATCAGGAACAGTTTGAAAAGATTCTTGCGAGGATAATGGAGTCGACACGGTAATGTCACTCGAGTTTTTAAATTATAAATACTTGAAAACGAAAGATTCTTCTGTTTTTTTTTTTTCATGATCATGATATAGATGAAAGAAAATAATTTCTATTTTTAAATAAAATAATATGTGATATATTACAGGAAAAGCACTCAAGTCGTACTGGTAGCTTCCAATCGCGACGCACATCACGAACCTGTATTTCCAACTCCTCAATATGCAATTTTTAATCGGAAACTGTTACAAAATTATTCGAATTTAAAATTGATGCCAGATCCGTGTATCCTGAATGTCGCTGGTTTGAAGGTCGGCATCACATCAGTCGATGTTATTAAACATATCGGAAAAGAAGAGATATCGTAAGTATTTTTTTACCAACGATCCAAAGTTCAAAGTTACATTTTTGATTTATATATAATATTCTAATTAGATATTTCATTTATAAAAATTTTATAGATCTTTTTTTTATTTATAAAAAATGAATAAATGTTTTCAGCAATGTGTCAGGTGATAGACTTAGTCGTCTGGCTGATCACGTGCTCGCTCAAACATGTTTTTATCCTGTGTACCCTCCGCCTGAGGACTTGAACGTAGACGTAGAGTTGTGGGAAAAGTATGCATTTTTTGATCAACAACCACATTTATTGATTTTACCGTCCGATATGCGATGTTATTATAAAGTAATCAACGAATGTATGATACTGAATCCGGAGCGTATGCATAAACACACTTATGCTAGGTTGAGTGTGAAACCGACTCTAGAAGATAAATGGAATTCTAATAATATCTCGTGCGAGATTGTCAAAGTTTGATAGCTTTTAAGTATATTCGAGAACAACTTCTTAGACTTTTGTAAGAAACAATTATATTTTTATAAGCACATAAAAATTAAAGTTTTTTTGTTTTAGATTAAAATCTTTCTACTTTTTAAACACGTATTAAATTATTTAATTTTTATTAATTGATAAAAATGATTCACGAATATTTATGTAATTTTAGTCAGTTTATAAACAAACGAGTAGATATTTGATATGGCTTGTTTTAAAATGGCCTGTATTTTTTAATTTTCCTGTTTTTGTTATTTTTATCCACTATTGATATTAAACAAAATATTTCAAGTAAATACAAATTTAAAAGTCAAACTGAAAGAATTCAAAACGAATTTTTATTAAATAAAAGTTGACAGAGGAAAATGTAATAATATTTGTTGCATACATCAGACTTGAACAAATTTCATAATTATAAAAAGTACGGGAAAAAAAAATTAAGAAATGCCAGTGAAGTTGCTATGTGAATTCCATCTGTATTTTTACGAAATCTCAAAAATCGTCATTTGTATCAACGGAGGTTTGCGTCGGAGGTTCGCGTCGTTCACGCTCGATGGTGCCACGCGCTCGATGCTGCTGCCCCCGCAAAGCTCCCCCGGACTTTTTCTACAGCTGTGTTGAGCCATAAAATCAGCCATTACTCCAACATTTTTGTCGTGTACGAGCGGCCACGAGCGGTACGCAATGAGAAGATCGCGGTCAAGTTGCTGAGCACCAGGTGGTGAGTAAACGTGGATTCGCAACACGATCACGCGCGAAAGTGTCGTAGGATCCATTCGCCGTTGTCGATCGCGACGGCCAGTCTCGGGCGATTTTGCCAAATTCATGCCCGCCATCTTTGTTGCGAGAGCTCTCCGTTGATACACACACCGCGTACGAGTACACTCGGTGCGTGTACTCGTTGGAGCTCCTCCTTTTTTTTTTCCTCCCGACAGTCGCCTGTTTCATCCCTTCCTCGCGCCGCGGAATTATTCGCGATCTGTATCGGTGACGGCCTTGATCCCCCTTCAAATTCAACTGCGTTACGAGCTCTATCGAATTCGCGAAATGGTCTCGGAGTTT